ATTATATTAGTTTAGCCTAATGATAATTGTTGTGGAATCTTTGTTACTTTAGTTTAAGTTAATGGAAAATGTAATGGAATCTGTTACTTTAGTTTAAGTTAATGAAAATTGTTGTGGAATCTTTGTTACTTTAGTTTAAGTTAATGAAAATTGTTATAGAATATGTTACTTTAGTTTAAGTTAATGAAAATTGTTGTGGAATCTTTGTTACTTTAGTTTAAGTTAATGAAAATTGTTATAGAATCTGTTACTTTAGTTTAAGTTAATGAAAATTGTTGTTGAATATTTGTTACTTTAGTTTAAGTTAATGAAAATTGTTATAGAATCTGTTACTTTAGTTTAAGTTAATGGAAAATGTTGTGGAATCTTTGTTACTTTAGTTTAAGTTAATGAAAATTGTTATGGAATCTGTTACTTTAGTTTAAGTTAATGAAAATTGTTGTGGAATCTTTGTTACTTTAGTTTAAGTTAATGAAAATTGTTGAGTCTTTGTTTTAGCCTAATGTAAATTGTTTCCTTAATTTAGCATAATGGGGAATTATAGAATTGTTGCATTAGACTATTTAAGCAAATTGTTGAAAACTGAAAATCAAGAAGATTGCCAGTATGTGAATCAAATTAAAAGTTTACATTGGAGACACACATTTTATGTTTGAAAATCTATTATTTTTTGATAGTAAAATGTACTTGCTCAGTCCAGTATCTTAAAGTTAGACGTAAACATACCACTACTACACTAAAATAAAAGTAGAGCAGAATGTAATAAATTGGCATTTTTATATTACTATATAATGTATGGTATATAGTGTACTCTAGTGTTTATTGTTTAGTGTATAATGTGTAGTTTACAGTGTACTGTATAATGTAGTGTAGTGTACCATATAATGTACAGTATTCTGTATAATGTCCTGCAGTGTATAATGTGTAGTTTACAGTGTACTGTATAATGTAGTGTAGTGTACCATATAATGTACAGTATTCTGTATAATGTCCTGCAGTGTATAATGTGTAGTTTACAGTGTACTG